GAATTGGAGAAAAGTTTATGATCAAACGTGAGCACCCTATCATGTTCCACCACACATTATTTCCGTTTTGCATATCGTTCCTGTAACGTAAATTTAAACAATTTTGTTAAATTCAATCGCTTTAACAATCACCTGCAACATTTGGAATTCTCAATTTCGTAATTATTCGATTGCAAACTTTTGGTCATGTTTTCAATGAATAAAGTTCCGGATGCAATTTTATGCTTGATGGAGCCAATCCCATTAAAATTGGAGAATTAAAAAGTAACGTAACACAGAATCGCACTCGCTTTTAATGAAGTCATGTCAACCAGCCATGCATAAGGTAACCGACCGAATAGTCAGTCAGTCAGCAGCCGCAGCCAGGATGGAAGGAAGAAAGGAAAGACCTGTTTAAATTGATGCGGCTAACCACACTGCTGCTCAGCAGATGCAAACGAACCATTGATTTTGAAATTATTGTTGGGGCGACCGGTATGGTCGCTGTTGTAAATCTCCAGCTGGAGGCCAAGGCGGCATAGGTAGCCATGTTGCCGAAAATGCATTCAATGCTGATGCTAATTATTGGAAAACTTAATTAAGCCCTGGGATGTACATTCTTCAAGTTTGAACTTTTAATGTTATTGCTACATTCGTTTCGAAATCTAATTTGGTTGTTGTGTTCGGTAACAAGGGTCTCAAATGGAATTGCATTCGATTTCAGGGTGTATTTGTTTTCCCACTCTCCAACTCGGACGGAAGGGGATTCAAAGCGAGGTAGAGCAAAAAAACATCAAGAGTAGCAGAAGCTACTTCAGCAGCACAATCCTAACATTTTATTATGTTCTAATACGTCTTAGTTGGTAAGCACTACCTTTCTCCTCGACATCGTCGATGGAAACGACATTTGCCACAGATTGTGTTTGGCAACACAAATGTCGAAGGATAAGCAGCACTTGAAAGCAACGAAGAAAATAAAATTGAGAAAATAACAAAAAGCAATTTTATACTTGATTTCATCCGCAACGAACAACAAAAAGTGATTGCAAAAATTCGAAAATAGGTGAATGTGGTTTGTTGTTTCAATGTTTCAAGCTGCCGGATAAATAAGCCACACGACACAGCACAAAGTAAGGTGGAGGAGGAGGAGCAAAAACCAGCAGATATTAAGTGAAACATCAGCAGGTTAGCAGTAAAGCAGTCAACGTCTAGACCAAGGACGCTTTAAAGCAAAAATTTAAGTAAAAGTAGAAACGAGAGATAGAGAGAGTGAGATAGAGCAATATCATAGGACATGTAGCATTAAGTTATTCAATATTCTATTGGAAGATTACGTATTTCAATTTAAAGCCCAACAATATTGCACAGCTTCGAATGGCATTAAGATGTTAATAAGAGATTTACCAAATTTATAGTCACCGCAGGGGACAAGTCCATTAACGAACGTAATTTTATGTAGAATATTTCTTCTTTGGACACCTTCAACTTAAAATAGAATTTTATGAAACTTTCAGGCATTAAAATGAATAAAGTCCGGGGAAAAATGAACCAAGAATATTAGGAAATATTTTCGGTTTTTTTTTAGGAATATTGATGCAGAAATATTTTGGCATACAATGGAAATAGAGACTTCGTTGGTGACTTATGAAAAAATTTGATGAAGACTATTTTTGTCTTTGACGCCATCTTTGATTTTTTGGAGATTTGTGCACAACTCACCCAAAGTACGGCTTTAATTCTAAAATGTATTTTAATATGAACTAAATTTACAGTTCGGCGGGCCGACTATATGATACTCTACACCACCTTGCATTTTTAGTAGAGCTTAACGGCCGTTTATATTAGGAACTTTTGTGAAGTAGATCATACCAACTATGAACCTTTTTTGAATGCGCATTATATATTTTATATTTATATATAAAATTAAAATAAGCTAATACAGGGTGAGATAAAAAACTGTAGCAAAGTCAAACGAAAGCAAAAAAATGTAGGAAATAGCATCAAATTTTAGAGTAAGTTTAGATTTGTTCGAACTGGTCACCTTTGGCAATTTGGCGAATTATGGCCTTCCAACGGCCAATGGAACCGTCACATGCTGCCCGAATGTTGCTCTGCGGTATTTTGGCCCATTCCCAGCGAAGCGCTTGCTTGCTTTCCAAAATACTCCAGACACAATAGTCCAACAAATTGGTATCCGGAGATTTTGGTGGTCATTGTGCGCTAGAAATGAAGCGAGGAACCTCATTTTGTAAACATTCTTGGGTGGTGCGTGCTGAGTGCAATGGTGCTGAGTCCTGTTGGAATGCCAAGGTCTGCGGCTAAAATGTTTTCGTGCCCAGGGCTTTAATACACCCTCCAAAATATTTTCGCGATTATATTCGCCATTTATTCTACTGCCACCCACGGTCGATTAATATGAGCGGAGAGCGACCATCGGCTGTTATGGCGGCCCACACCACCATCATGGCCGGCGCTTGAGTTCTGGTGGCCAACCGAAGGTCTACATTTTCAGCTAACCTCTTTGGCAAGTAAACACGATCATTTTCTTTGTTTGTTTAGAAACTGCTGGACAACGAATGTTTTTTCATCGGAGAAAACCAAATTCGGCAGTTCACCACTTTCGGCCAAGCGAAGCAACCCTTTAGCTATTTGAGTCTATTTTCTTCCAGTTGCGGTGTAAGTTCTTGCACTTTTTGGAATTTCAATGGCTTTACCCCGACCTCATTTTTCAATATTTGCCGAATGGAATATTGCGATATGTTCAGCCATTTTTCGACCACTGCGATGCGGGTTTCGATCAAGTCGCTTCTTTGCTGTTTTCTTTCGTCCACTTCCTTGACGACGGGCTACGCTACCAGTATCACAGTAACGAGCGATGGTACAAGACACAAAAAATTTATTCACATTTAAATGCTGGAGTGCTCCAACGATAGCCAGTTGTGGTTTTCCAGCCAAATATAAAGAAATCACAGTATCACACTTGAATTCCATCACGAATAACTTTTTCTCTGGAAAATTCTCACCAAAATGCTTTTGTACGCTTGTAAACAATATAATGAGCTGTCACTGGAATAATTTTAACAGCTGTCGGACGAGTGGTTTAGAAATGACAGCAGTCTGAAGTTGGTTGCAGTTTTTTCATCTCCCCCTGTATATTGACTTGCGTTATAATTATTCAAATTTCTCACACCGTTGTGGGGGACCTAAGAGCCTGATTTGTCCTTTACTTTCTTAAAAATGTTCCAATGAGCGCGATGTATCAGACACGGTAAAACGAAGTATTCCACTTCATCTAACACAGGAAAAAGTTTGGAATGGATAAAATTCGAAAGAAAATCGAAAATTAGTTTGAAGTATATAATTATTCAAAATTATGACCCTAGTTGGGAAGGTACCAAAAGGAGTGAATCAGATTATTCCACCTTCACACCAGATCTTGTGTTAGTAGAAATTTTGGAATGTGTGGGGCTTAGGATGAATCGGAAGCTTATTTCGCATTTAATGAGATTTTTGGTTATTTTTTGACCCTTTATTGGGAATTTAAGCTAAGACGAGTTTGAAAGAAGTCGGATGTTCATTTCGAGTTTTATGAGTTTCGTGGATACTCAAAATGTTGAACAGTTGCGGAGGGGGTACCAGAAATAGTGGATAAATATATATCAGATCTTGTCAATAAAAGTATTGTGATGTATAAAATAAGACAAGAGACAATAAGAACCTTATTTCACATTGAATGAGAGACATAATTATTCACAATTTTGACCCCTTGCACCTTGCGGTGGGTGCCAAAAGGAGTCATCCTATGTATTCCATATTCACATCGGGTCTTTTTTTAGTATTAATAATGGGATATGTGAAATTTTAAGAGAATCGGATACTCAATCCGTATTTTATGCTCGGCTTGGTCATTCAAAACTTTAACCCTTTGTGGGGGAGGGTACGAGAAGGAATGGTCCGATCTTTACCATCATTATAAAAGATCTTGTGTTGATAGAAATATTGAGATGTACTAAGTCTGAATGAAATCGGACAATAATTTCACATTTTGACAACATTTTGATCCTTTTTGGGAGAGATACCAGAAGGAGTGGACCAAAATATCTCGATCTTCGCACCAGAACTTGGGTTAATAAAAATATTGTGAGATGTGTAATTTGAAGACAATCGGACTCTAACATCACATTTTGTAAGAGTTAGAATTATTTAAAATGTTGACCCTTTGTGGGGGAGGTACTTGATGGAGTGGGCCGATATTGATCATTTTCGCACCTGACCTAGCACTGATGCAAATATAAGGATTTACAAAGGTGGAGCAATATCGAATTATTCTTTCTATTTCTGTGCATTAAAATAGTTGTTTGAAAATTACGACCTTTTGTGGTGGAGGTATCAGAAGGAGTGGACCGATATTGTCCAGTTTTTTAGTTTTATGGTTTGTGGAGGAGGCTATGGAAGTAGTGTGCCGATGTAGCAAGCTCCCTTAAAGAATTATTATGTCATTATTATGTACCTTCCAACAGACGGTACAAGATTGTCAAGATTGTCTCCAAATGTCTTGACACGGATTTGGGACCAAAAATTTAATTTCCGTCTTATTTTCGTGTGGCCCTTTTGAGTAGAAAAACTATAAACTCGTTCGTTTTAGTTCGTATTTTCATTCTTTTGGAATTTGTTGTTATTGAATTTTTTTCAAATTTATTTAATGTATTTCATCTCTTCCCCATTGAAAGCTTTAAATATATTTTATATTCCCTTGCACATAAAATATTAACGTTCCTTGCTCTCTCTCTCCCACTCTTTTATTTCTGACAATAAATTTCAGGTTTATGATGTAAATGCAACCGGACTACATTAAATAACTGCTAACATTTATTCCATCAGCTTTAATGTAGTTCGTGTTATTTCAGCTTTCGCCGGCTAACTCTGGCATAGTTTCAGTTATCGCTTGACATGCACTTTATGCTGGGGAAATTGCCATCACTTCCATTCCCCCCATCATTTTATCCATGACTGACACTTACCTGAATTTGTCCAATGATTTTTAGAAAATGTAGAATCAAGTGGAAATTGTTGCTGCTGTTGTTGTAGATGCTGCTGGTGCTTTGCACTGTTTGTCGTACTGGTGTAACTGCCGGCAGTGCTGCTGCCACTGTGAGTTTTTTTGCTCCTCATAAAATTTTTGAACGATGGCAATGCACTGGAACTGAGTCCCATGGCAGTGGGGCTGGTCTGGCGAGTGCTGCCAGTGAATTTTGAATGCATGCCATAGCCAGTGGTCCGGTGGTGTTGGGTTGTGTGCGGCAACAAATGGACTGTGGGCGTTGTTATTGTGGGACTGAGGGGGTGTGTGCTACTGCTAATGCTGTTTTTGAGATTGATCATAATTCTGGACGTCTTCGTGTTATGAAAACCGGATGATGTTGTTGATATTAATGTAGGATATGCTGCTGCTGCTGCCGTTTGAGATGACGATGACGACGACGACAATGACGGCGAAAAGGCTGAAGGCTGTAATGAAGTGGCCAAGGATGTGGAGAATGATGGTAATGAAGACATTTGTGTACCACCGGCTCCTTCAAATGATGATGACGACGACGACGGCAACGAGGACGAGGCAAATGTTGTACGTGTCGTATCGAAAGCATTGAATTGGAAACTCTCTACAAATGCCACAGTTGCTCCACCAACTGCTGTTGTCTGGCTTTGTGGTAGGGCCACTGCTACGGCCGTAACTCTTTTTGTTAGTTTATCTGGCCATTCAAAGTAAACCAAAATCGTGGCATTTCGATGAAAAGAACGAAGGCAATGCAAAAAGAGGGGAAAAAAACACAGAGGAAGAGAAGAAAGAAAACATGTAATGCAATTAGAGAATAAAATTCAGCTTAATAAATGTGGAGCAATAATTTTAAGTATGACGACCAATGTTGTAAAGGGCATTTCAGGATGGGGTGAGGGAATTTATATATTTTTGAAATTGCAAATCCAGAAAAAAAGCTCTTATGTTTGGGTTCAATTATGACAGAATACGTGTCAAAATTGGACAAATATCATTATGTAACATTGTAATTGCCATGTAATCAAAGGAAACTAAAGATTGGCACATGTCAGTCTTTTGTCAATAGGCTGATCAAGTTCGAATATGGGCTATGTCGGTCCACAATACAATGATTTTAGCCACATTTTTCGATGGAATTATCTGAACTTCTACACAAGGAGTTCTTTCTAAGTGCTTTACTCCCTGGACGAGATTTGTCTATATAGGTCCATGATATCGTATATTTGATGATTGTAGACACATTTTTCAATAGAGTTGTCTGAAAATCTACACAAAGTGTTTCTTCTGAGTACTCTACGTCTTTATAGGTCCATACAATGGCACCCTCCGATATTCTGTATTATTATGATTTTAGTGACAGTATTCACCGCATTTTTTTTAATTTCCTATATGAAGTTCGTAATGGGTACTGCAACCTATGATGGAAAATTTCTATGCAGGTCCATCACTTTGTATAGCTCAAATATAATTGTTTTCATTTGACCGGCATTTTTCGGCGGATTTTTTTTTTAATATTTCGTGTTGCTTCTCATTGGTAGAGGGTAAAAAAAGGTTCGGCCGCCCAAACTTTTTTACTTTTTTTAATTCGTACGAGAACGGTACGAAAAAGAAAAAGAAAGCTAGAACTCTTTGGTATTTGATATAAAGGTCACTGATGAAGAGTATGGTGGGAACGGATGAACCTGGAATCCTGAAATTTGAAATTAATATTACTGCAGGAGTGTAGGATTGGCAGATGGAGGTAGTTTTCGAAAGTTGCACTTATGTGTACGAAAAGTTATAAATGGTACTAAATTTGGTACAATTTTGATTTCGGTGAACCGATAAAGCTGGAATGCTGAAATTTGGAAGTAAGAGTAAGAAGGAAGGAAGAAGAGTACTATTGCATTGTAGGACTAAGGTATCTAGGCAGTTTTGGAAATTGGTACCAATGTGTACATAATTGTACTAAATTTGGTACAATTTTAAATTTAGGAGAACCGATAGAGTTGAAACCCCGAAATTGCGAAATCAAATAACTTTTGTATAGGGGGATTGGGGTATATAGAAAATTTTGGAAAATCGTACTTATATGTACTAAATTTGGTATAATTTATATTTTGCGAGAGCTGGAGAATAAGAATTTTTGAATAAGATTTATATTGGATTGTATGATGTAGGTAGTGTGTACTTATGTGTACTAAATTTGGTACAATTAAAATATTGGTAGAAGCAAAAGAGATGGAATCTTGAAAATCGGAAATTTGATTTCTATTGGATGATTGTATGATGTAGGTAGTTATGGAAATGTGTTCTTATGTGTGGCAAGTGGTACTAAATTTGTTACAAGTTGGATTTCCGTAAACCAATAGAGCTGGTATCCTGAAATTTGGAAATACAATTGCTGTCGGAGTGTGGGATTGGGATATGGAGGCAGTTTTGGAAATTTGTACTTATATGTACTCATCTTTACTACATTATTTACAATTTTGATTTGGGTGATCCAATAGAGCTGGTATCCTAAAATTTGGAAATAGAATTACTTTAGTATAACGTAAGTTTGGGAATTGGTATTGGTATAAAGAGGTGTTTTGATTTGTGTACTAAATGTAAAAACTGTACTAAATAGTACTAAATTCAGCACAATTTGGTTTTGGTATTTGGGTATATGCTGGTGGGTTTGGAAATGCGTTTTGCAAGCGTATGAAATGTACTAAATGGGACTAAATTTGGTACATCCGAAATTCGGCATTAAGTCAGTATTAGTATGTAGCGTTGTGATTTGGAGGTAGTTTCGGAAATAACATACGATCTAAAAATTAATTATTTGTATTCAATTTGATATTTGAGTAAGGGATTGAGTTGAAAATAATGGGAGTGGATTTGAAAATACCTACCAAAAAGGTTCGAAAATACTAAATAGTATTAACTTTGGTGTTGGGGCAGTATAGAGCTGCAAATATGAAATTTAGTGTGAGAGTCTTTGATGTTGTGTAAATAGAGAAACTACCGCGTGTTTTCAAATTCTAGCAATACGTGCACCAAAAGTTCTAAAATTTACTAAATTTAGTACCAATTGGAATTATGTGAACGTATAGAGGTAAGATCTTGAAATGTGGTATGAGAATCAATGCTGGGAACTGCAGTTGTTAATGGAGGTTGTTATGGAAATGTGTGTAAGCACGTAAGTGTAAGATCGGCACAAAATGGTACTGAATTTGGGACAATTCCGTTTTGGGTAAAAGGAAGAAGCTATTAATTTGATATGTTGGAATTGCGATCACTGCTAGTGGGTAGCGTTGAGATAAAGAGTTGGGGTTGGAAATGTGTTCAGTATTGTAAGAAAGGTAGTAAATGGAACAGGTATTGCTTGAAATCTTAAACTTTATATAAGGGTCACTGTTAGTGTAATGGATGGAGATTTGGAGGTGGTTTTGGAAATACGTACGAAAAATTACTTAATTTGGTATTTGGCTGTGGATCGAGTTGAAAGTCTAACGTTTTCCATTAGGTTCATCTTTTGTGCGGTTTGGCAAATATATATTGGGGGGTTTCGGAAATAAGCATTAAAAAGTGAAATTTATTATAGAAAGTGGCTGATCTGTAAAGCGTACAATATTTTAACGAAAAGTACTAAACTGTTCTAAATTTGGTATATAGACTTAGAAAAGTGTTAGAACTGTACATTTCGCTGTTGAGATCAGTGTGATATATAGTTTTTATTAATAAATAAAGAAAAATACAAATCTACGTAGTTTTATGTACCTATTTACTGGACAGAAATGTGCTATTTTCTATACACGTATGAATTTACCTTATGCGAGGTTAGTATTTTGAGATTTATTGAAATTAATCGTTTAATTTATAACAAGAAATTAAGTACTAGGGTGCTTATTTCATACCTTTTATTTGGTATAAAAAATCACACATAAATTCACTTAATATAAATTCCTTCCTCCGCATACGAAGTAGCCGGAATTCGCTAGTTTATGTATATAGAGTTAGTTTCAGAATCGATACCCTTTTTAAGCTTCTATTTGTTTGATGGAAAACTAAATATACAAATCTTAAAATATTTCTGTCTCTATTTTCCATCACCCTACTTTGAAAACACCCTCTATTTGACGTGCCATAAGAATTTAAATAAAAAATGAACATCGTAACAATTCTTGTTAAAATTATTAGACTGTGGTTGAGTGCTGGAGTGCCTCGGACTGTGAATGTGTTTGGCTGGTTGGCTATTGGCAAAATTTCTGTCCGCCTTTGTTGCTGTTGTTGTTGTTGTTGTATGGGATTTTGTTCTATATCTGCCAATCTCGTTTTTCTTTTCCACACACCAAAAAAAAAGTTAATATAAAATTGAGGCGATTAGTATAACAGGGTTTATTGCAGCGTATAATTTCGGAATCAGCTGAGGCGAAAGAGAACAACAACATTTGATTATTAAATATTTCCTAAGGATGTTTTTTGTGGTCGTTGTTGTTGTTGCTGTATTGCTGCAATTAAGCTTTAGCACAATGTTGATGAAAGTTTGAGTTGTACGCAAAAAATTTGACCAACTTTAATCCATGCATACTTGGAGTGTCAGAATTAAAAATTTAAATCAATATTAAGTTTTTTTCTAACAAAATGGATTATTTATTGGAATTCAGTTTTTGCTAATTCTTGGAAAGAATTATAAAATGAAATTACTACGTTTTTTGAGCCAGAGTATGCAAAAAAAAAAAAAAATCTGTGCCGTAATGGGGGTGATCATGTTCACATTATATTAGAGCCTTGGAAACGGAAGAAAATTAATTCTTATGTAAGGCATATTTTCATTCTATTTTCAGCTGGTATCGTGAAATTTGGCATTAGAGTCACTTTTCATGCAAAAGTGTTCAATAAACCAGAGTTTTAAAATATCGACCAAACTTCACTAAATATTCAACAGATCGCCGGGTTAAAATAAATATAGGGTAAGGATAGGTATCAATTTTCGACACTTCGTTTTAAATGGCTAAAATACAAACTAAAATGCACTAAACAAAATAGTATTGATCAATGCCGGGGAGAAATTGTACGAAGAAAGTACAAACAAGTAAAAAAGCGGTAAGTTCGGCCGGGCCGAACTTTGAATACCCGCCACCATTTGGAACGAATAAAAATTCTGTTAAAATCTTAAAAATACCGAATGTAACTGTCATATTAGGGTCTATACGACGACATGGACCTGCATACGTAACATTTGTCAAAAGCCATTACAATAATGAAATGCGAAACTTAAAAAAAATCGAATATCGGGAGGTACCGTTATATGGGGGCTCAACATGTACTTGCATAGACAATTTCCTGTCTTGGGCTGTACTATCTTTTACGAACTTCAAATACCAAATTTGAAACAATTCCGTTGAATAAATTCGCTAAAATCAACAAAATACCGAATATAGGGAGGTACAGTTATATGGGGGCTATACGAAGACGTGGACCTACATGGCCCATTTTCAATACCAAAAGTCCTGCAGACATAACATACATTTGAGTAAAATTTCATCAATCTACTTCAATGAGTTCGGAAGCTAGAGTGATTTCCACAGACGTACAGACCGACGGACATCGCTAAATCGACATAGAATTTAATGCTGATCAAGAATATATATACTTTGTGGGGTCCAAAATGTGTATTTCGAGGTGTTACAAACGGAATGACCAACTTAATATACCCTCCATACTATG